TTATATACTCAATATAAATATATATAATGATTTTTATACTATTACGAGGTCGTATTGATTGCATTTTCAACCTTGTCGAGATCAAGGGTAAAAAATATCGCGTTTTGTAACAAATTATTTGACTATTAAGAAAAAAAATTCACAGTACAATAATACATTTCATCGAGATCAACAACTTTTTGCCGAAACATTTTTCGACTCTGTGTCGTGTGTGTGTGAGTCTTAAAATAATATTTGTTATGCATCAGCTAGTACGAATGCACCTTTGCTTAATAACTCAGTTTGTTAGGTAACAAACAAATTAAAAGTAAAAAAAAAAAATAAGTGAAAAAACGTCTTTTGTTTGAGTTTGCATAGTTAACATCAAGCTTGGCCTCCATAAGTAGCTCGGACTGACTTGACATGACTTTTTCCCTCGTATAGTAATCATCACACCTGTAGACTGCACTGTTACTCATTTGTTTATAGCCTATACAAGTTATTTATTTAAGCCGCATCAATACATATGTCGTTGCCTTTTATTCAACTGTATATCAGTGTTCGTATACCTATTTGAGGTCATAGTACACAATAATGTGAAAAAAACTGTGAATTATTGTTTAAAAAACAAATATAAATTTATACTGGTGAAATATGTTAAGGAGGGGTCTCGCATCAATTATTTTTTAAGTTATTTTTTGGCATAAATACGTACAGCCAGTCCACAATTATATATTAATATTATTACCATATAGTCAGTTAACTGGGAATCAGCGCCATCTAGCGTACGATTTTTCTCGTCGCTCATAGACCCTACTGACGTTTTTGTATTTTCGTTGACGAAGAAAAGCACAACCCAGATATTGCCATTCAAAGTGAGATAGAGAAATCTGAGTTGCGCTTTTCTTCGTGACCTGAAGCAAAAAAAACGTCCGTATAAGTATAGGACTGCTTGATTTTTTTCAGTACAGTAATACTGGCTGTGTACCTAACTTACGCAGTTATACATTAAAGACCAATAAAATCATTAATAACAATACTATCATAGCTATAGAACTGTAGGAAAAAATAGAAAAGGCACTATCTACAGTTATGATGTCCTTAAAAAAATACAAGAAGTAATATCCATATATTATTATAATTTACTTATAACTAAGACGACTGTTGTTGTTTTGGGAACTGCTGGAAATGAGTGACAAGAGTCATGGATTATCGGTAATTTATTGCAGTTATCAGTAATCTTACACTTCAAATAACTAATTTTTTGCCTCTCAACACTTTGAATACACGCAAAAAATATAATTTAAACTTATTTACTACCCAAAGCTGTGAAGAAGTTTTGGTTATGTTTCGTTTCTGCTATAATGATCGCATCGCATTCATTACAAAACAAATTGTTCAACTACAACTGTTTACAAAACATGTTTTCATTTTTTTTTTTTTTTTTTAGAAAGAGGAGATTGCAAAGCAGTTCATGTTGCCAGAGAGGAAGAGTAAAATAGCAACTCTATTAAAACAAGATGGACAGGCATACTGTATCTGCCGAAGCTCTGACAGCTCGCGGTTTATGATGTAACTTTTTTACATTAAAATCGCTTGATGTGTAATGAAATTACTTTTATTTAGTTATATTTGTTTACTAGTGGCTGTGATGCTTGCGAGGAGTGGTACCATGGTGATTGTATAAATATCACGGAGAAAGAAGCCAAACACATCAAACAGTTCTTCTGTGTTGTAAGATATTTTTTTGGATACAGTCATTGGATTGAAAAATTTTGATGTACCTATATTTTTTTTCTTAGAGATGTAGAGAAGAGGATCCCACTTTAGTAACCAGATATAAAGTTAAAAAAATCGAGAGAACAGAAAAAACTGATCAGGAGGACAGGAAACACAAAAAAAACAAGGAAAAAGAAAAGTCTTTCAAGTATGATTATGACAGTCATTGGGATCTATCAGGTACTAAAAAGTCGCCAAAAAAATGCGGAGATTGCTCTGGCTGTGTGAGAACGGATAATTGTGGAAGATGTGATGCTTGCAGGTAACATTTTTTAACTGTGTTACAAAAATATGTAATCATAAACGTTTAAAACATAAAATCCAAAGAAATTAGTGATTTAAACATCGGTGTTTACAGGCATCTTAAGAAGCATGGTCCATCAGTTCGTTTGAAATTAAGATGCGATCTGAGAACATGTAGAGTACTTGGAGATCCGCTTAAACCTTCCAAAAGTTTCAATCGCAACACAAAGTTGAACAAAAAAAGAAGAGGAGACTCTAGTGAGAGACTAGACTATCTTGAACCTCCGAGGCACTGTTACGGGCCGTCATGCACCAAACAGTCTAGACCTGGAAGCAAATACTGCTCGGAAGAGTGTGGCATAAAATTAGCTACAAGTAGAATTTATCAAGTGCTCCCTCAGAGACTGCAAGAGTGGGCACTTACGCCTTGTATCGCTGAGCAAAATAACAAAATAGCTTTGGATAACGTTAGAAGGCAGCAACAGGATGTAAAGAGAATTCTCCAGGAGTTGGATAAGAGACATTCCGAGCTGGATAAGATTGTAGAACGTGCTAAGCATGCTGCTGTAGAGTCTAAGGCTGAAGTTGACGATAACGACGATAATGAGATGAGCATGTACTGTATTACTTGCGGCCATGAAATTAGTTCTAAAACTGCAATCAAGCATATGGAAAAGTGTTTCAATAAGGTAATTTAGCTTTTTTTTTTAACTTCGAACATTTTATCAATTTAATTTTCATCTTCTCCATCTCACACTATTATTAAACATGTAACCCAAGTTTATTAACAAACGTATTTTCTTTCAGTACGAGTCTCAAGCGTCATTTGGGTCCATATTCAAAACCCGAATCGAGGGCCAGGTCATGTTTTGTGATTATTTCAACCCAATCAATCACACGTATTGTAAAAGATTGCGAGTTCTCTGTCCAGAACACTGTAAAGATCCGAAAATCAGCGATACAGAAGTTTGTGGCTGCCCACTTGTAACAAACGTCTTTGATGCGACTGGTGAATTTTGCAGGGCTCCTAAAAAGAGCTGTGTGAAACACTATGTTTGGGAAAAGCTAAGCAGAGCGGAAATTGATATGGAGCGTGTGAGGCAGTGGATAAAAGTTGACGAACTAGTCGAGCAGGAAAGACAAATAAGAACAAATATGGCTGCTAGAGCTGGTGTGCTTGCTTTATTGCTACATTCAACGTATAACCATGAAATCATGGAGCAAATTAGCCAAGAACAAAATATAGAACGAATCAAGCAAATGGAGGAAGAGCTTCAAAGATACAGTATGCAGTTGCAATTGGAACAAAATAAAGGACAGTTATGAGGTTAAATTTACAATGTCGGTCAAGCATCAAGTTTTAGTTGAATGGTTTTATTTAATTTTTTCTTCTTCAAAGTTTAATCAGATAAGTAAACTTAATTTCTAATTTTCATGTATGTACATTTACAATCCATCATTAAAATTTCTTACATTCTACATATTTGTGATGTTAAATTTTATTAGCATTATAAAAACATTAATTATCATACAACCTGCACATGGCGCGTGATAAACATTCGAATTAAATGTATCTTTTGTTTATAAAATTTATTAATAAAAACGAAAAATGAAACAAAAAGTGACTTGCACTCTTATCACTTGTTAATACTTTTTAATAGTTCATTTGATGACTATTACAGATGTTTTTTGTTTGGCGAGTTTTTAAAAGGATTTCTGCCTTTTATATACTCACCGACAGGAGAAACGATTTCTTTTTGCCAAACCAGCTTGTGCTTATGTGTTGGCGTTATACTACTTTTATTGGGAGATCTTGAATTTAATCTTTGTACATTATTGAGATCAGATGGTACTTTCAACAAGTCTGGTGAGAGAGTAGCTTTTCTATATGACGAATTTCTAACAATCTCTGGAGATAATCTTGTACTATTATTATTATTGGTATTTTTTAATGCACCTAGAGACAATAACGTTGCCCCATTTGTGGCTGGATCCAACAACAATTTCTTAGTTAGCAATTGTCTGTCTGTGAAATAAAATTTAAATTGATTATTTTTGGTATGTAAAATTTTTACTTTTAATTCAGTTAAGATTAGAAAAAAAAGATATACCTGTTGCATTTCCACAGTTTCTAAGTTTGAGAGTAGTCTTCCTTACACAGTTTTTGACACTTTTTTCATTGTTCTCTTTGTTGTGGGGCTTTTCAAAGGTCTTGGAACACGTACAATAAACTTTTTGTTTTCTCATGTTTTTTATTTCTGTAGCTAAATATTTTAGAAACTTATCACACAAAACGTGAGGTAAATGCTTGGCTTCTCTCAAAAAACTCTCACATGACTTGCTTCTGTACATGGACCGTTTTTTTACAATACGCTCTTCATCCATTAAGTATCGCGAATAATTCGACAAGTAGGTATCATCCAGACTTTTGAAAATTGATGAATGTTCGTTGTCACCGTCGTAGTCATTGGTGGTGCTCAAGTCTGACAAAGAGCTCCTTAAACTTGAATTTTCGTAAAGTTCGCATTGTTTTTCCCAAAAAATGAAAGACTCTGTAGTATTCTGGTTGCAGTTATCATCGGTTCTTCTACATATATTGTACTGACTTGTACCATCCTGCAGCCTAGAATTGTTTTTTGTATATTTTGATTGCTTTTTGTCTGAAGCATCTTCTGAAAGATCAGCTTCATTGGCAGAGAAAATCTTTGTAGAATTCTGATGGTAAGAATTAATTTCATTTGCTAAATCTACTAAATACTTCCCAGTATTTTCAAGGGTTTTAGAAATATTATTGGGAGAAGTTGAAGTTGTAGCAGCGCGAATTACAGTAGATTCATCCAAGACAGTCCTTAGCCCATCTAGTTCACTTTTTTCCATACTAGATGATTTGCTTGATGAAATATTACTTTTAGCTAAACCAACATTAAACTCACGTTGATCAGAATCATTTTTGTACCTGTTGGCGTTTGTTTTGGATATATTTTGCAATAATGTAGGTTTAAACGGTATATATTCTGTACTTTGATCTTCATGTAAATTAAATTTGCTATTTTTTTCATCCAAATTAATGTTATTCATATTACAAGAGTTTAACGTGTTTTCATCCAAACAGTCCATGAAAATATCACTTTCAGAAAGTACATCCAAGTTTTGATCAAGAGGACTGATGGCATAGCTTGTATCATTTTCAAAAAAAGACTCTTTTAACGTAACATTTGGATCTTTAGCATTTGGCATGGCTTGACCAACAGCTTGCACACATCCTCTCACATTATCTTTATTCAAGCTGCTGCTGTTGCTATCATTACTACCACCATTGGAACAAGTACTATAAACTGAGGTATCACTTGTTCCATTTTTTCTCAATTCAGCATGCAAATCTGGAATCCAATAAAACAGATCTACTTAGGTATTACAAATATTGGTGAGCAACGTTGATTGAATGAAATATATGTAGGTAAAACCCGTAAAACGTAATGTAATACTTCTATAGAAAGTGCTTTAACAACTGATACAGGTCTACAACTGGAACTGTACTATATTGGCCATACGTTTTGAAAAAAACGTGCTATTCTTTAAACAACGAAGAATTCTATAAGTAAGTATACTTGTGGGGCATTATTGCACGTGCGAAATCGAAATAACAATTGAGTACAAGAATAGTTACTCACCCTTAGGATCCAATCTATGGTTTTTTCGAAAATATTCGTTGTTCATTTTGCTGTGTATGGCAAAAATCACTTGTGCGCAGCACCAGCTCTTTTAAAAATTCCTCCTTTCTCGGAAGAGAAACAAAACACGATTTGACTCAAAAGATTCACGATCAACAGTAAAAGTAAGTATTCATGTTTCATAAATTATAAGTACAGTAAATCTAGTTGAGTTCAGAGAACAACACCTGCATAACAGGTGGTTGCGGACTGCGGGGCCCTTTTTCTGCACTGCCGACCTTCTCCCGAGGAATATCGCGTTTCGAATGCCTGCTAATCTGCTAAGATACGTCTCTGCTCTCTCATGTGCGTATGCCTATCCTGTTCTATATCCTGTACCTTTTGGCCTTAAGGATGCGTGGACTGTGGACAAAAGTGGGCATGGTCAAAGTGAAAGCCGGTAGATATAAACACAAAAACGTGTGAGAGAGGGCGGGGAATCGGGGATACATACGTGTGTTCCTAAGCCATACATAGTGATATGTTACATGGAAAAGGGGAAGAGAAGAAGAATAAAACACAATCTCAAACGGTCGCTTTTGAATCTCGGACGGCTCTCTGATGCTCCCTTTTTTAGTTATATGTAACCGGTGTCGGTTAAAAAAATATGCCGACAACTGACGTAAGTGCATATATGGTATAGGTGATGGGACCCGATAAAGTCCTGGGGAAATGGGAGAGCGATAACGCGATATATGGAGGGCTCGCTTCGCCCTCCTCTCTGTCTCTAATTTCTTATCGGGGATGAGAAGACATCCCTGATTTATCTTAAGTACTTGCACTTAAGATTAGGATTTCCAACTATTTGTTTCTCACGAAGCTATTTTTCTGTTACAGGCCTTTATTTTACCGTTACAACGCGTACGCGAATGTTTTATGTCTTACAGGAAGGTAATTTATATATTATATACTCGTACAACGTATTTATACAAATGTTGATTAACGGCTGTTGCATATTATGCTAACTATGGACAAATGCACGAGATGTTTATATTTTGGTTGAGTTGTTTTTATACATGCATTTTTTTTTATCATGGTCCATCCATATTTATTTAATTATATTAGTGTCAGCATAGATTATTTATTGCATTTTTGAATAATATGGTAATGAAATGTCGGGATAAAAAAAGTAAAAGGTACGGGTGTTTAACAATGATAATTCTTTATTCGATATACATAACAATATTTCTTTTCACTTTGGATTCAAACAAGTTTCAGATTTACTCTATCTATTTAAAGGTAATCGCTGCTCTCAAAAGCTTTATGTACACTCGTGATAAAATTATCAATTTACTCATCGTCCTGTGCTCACAAAGCGCGTATCACATGATTCTCACATACCTTTTTCGTTGACAAAATATTGCACCCTTGATGCTTAGAATCGTATGATAAATTTTTTTTTCCGTTCATAAATATTTACATGAATCATTATAAAAATTCAAATGGAATCCATAGTCTTTTTTTTTTTTTAGTAAAAGTTGAATTAAATCTATAAACATTGGTGACAAGAAAATTGAAAATTGTGGGTATTTTTTATCCATCACACTTAGGAATCAACAAGTTGTATGCACGTTGCAAAACTGATACAATATTATTTAGTTGATATAATTTGACATTATTATACTTTAAAAATGAATAAAAGTATGGGAACTAGTGTGAGAACGAAAAAAAAAGTTTCATCAGTGCACATAAATTAAATAATTGCAACTGACTAGTCTTAACTTGTAATCTAAGAAAAATCACACAGACGAACTTAATTACTCATTTGTACTTTGAAGTGTATACAATTACAAGATGTTAAAAGAATTCACCTACAATAGCCAAACGTTGAAGAAATGGTTGTGACTGACAGCTTAGTAAAAGATAATCTTCTTTTGCTGTTAGATTTGTAGGATAATTGTGTTTTCTAATTCTTTCAAGCATGACCTGTGGGTCATAGTTAAACTTTTCTTCCGAAAAAGTTTCTTCGTTGTTAATGCTTTCATTTTTACCAGATCCATCATTATTATGAGTTGAGAAGTCTGCAGTTGCTTGCGACGCAGTTACAATTGTTTCTAAATTTTCACTGTCATCTGATTTGTAAGCTCCACTTGGGGGAGCTGTAACTCTCACTTTGTTTGTATCTTCCATTTCAGTTTTTTGCGTGCTGTTGGTTTCTGTATAACTTTCAGAGCTTTCGTTATCAGCATTACTACTCGTTCTGATTCTCTTTATTTTTGAAAGTTTTTCAATTCTTATAGCATCATTACTTGCTTCTCTTTTGCTCTCATCATCTTCAAAATACTTGATATCGGCAGGGTTTTGGTTTTTTCTATTTTTGACAGCAGCAAACTTGCGTATGCTGGCTTTTTTTTGAGAAAACAGGTTGTGCGGGTACTGACAACAATGAAGTGCACCAGGATCGATAGGATGAGCTTCTGTATTGAAAATGTAACCACCAGCATCTACAACACACTGTCCCCATTCCGTTTCGATGACATCACCATGTTCTCCTAAAAATTAATTTGAAAAATATATGTTTTGCTCGCGTTTACAAATATTCAAACAATTATTACCACATACCTGCGTTATGAATGAAATTATCAGGATCAAATAGCAAGTACAAATATTTCGTTGTTTCTGAGAGGAAAAATGATTCCATTCTATCGGCTTTGCGATGATCTCTGACGTCATTTATTGTGGCATAGCCACACGTGGTTTTTGCACTGTGCTGCAGACTTTTTAGAATATCAACTCCAACTTGAATCAGATATGGATCACCAGTTGCTCTGTACAAGTACATAACAGACTCAATTAACTCAGGCCTCAGGGGATAGCCTTCTCTGTTAGTTCCTGCCTCTCCTTGTGGAATGTTATAAAACTCTGGGGTAAAGCCAAACTGTTTCCATACTCTATGGTAATTATGTAATGATTTCATGGCATCTTCAACTTGACCAAAAAGACTGAGCACGCCCGGCCAATAGGCATCCAACGATTGAAACACCGGTAGAGTTACTTGTCCTTTTGTCATAGAAACCCAGAGGTGCCAGTCTTCTCGTCTAATGTACTTTTCAATGGCTGCTCTGTGCTCGTGAAAAATAGCAGCCAACTCTGGATCTTGAAAGAGCAGAGTCCCCTTGGCTAAGTACTCGAAGTAGGAATCGACACCAGCACCTATTCCAGAATCCTGAGCGGTCCAGTGTCCAGTCATCACATCCACGTGGTTTCCCACCAAGCCAATATTAGACTTGTAATAGTGCAAAGCTTTCATTGCATTCATAGCTACCTCCTCGTATACAGGATCACCAGTCAACCTTGACAAAGTGCCAAACTCCAAGATGAAGGTGCCAATACCTGCTGTGCACGTGATGGTCGTCTCACCGGGTGGAACTCCATACTTGAGATTGACAGTGCCATATGGCATCCCGGTCGGTGTGTCAAAGGCTACCATCAGTCTTCTGCTAATATCCTCTGCTAATCTCAGCAGTGGCCCATTACATGGCCAGCCGGGCTCCAGCTGCATCCCAGCTTTTTTCGACAGCAAGTGCGCGCTCAAAAGACCACCCACTACCCTGATGTTGGTCTCAAATACCGATACGTTGATGTTGGCCTCAAAGTCGGACCTCGAGGCGATGATCTCGGCGACTCGGCGGAACTCTGTGAAATTTCCCATCACAGCCAGCGTGTCGAGGGCGTCGATAAGGGTGAGCGAGAAGCTGCCCCAGGTATCGAAGCCATCGCAGCTCAGAGAGCGCAACTCGTCGTAAGGATAAGCGTACTTAATGTAACTGGAGTACGCGTGGTCAAACATAGCGCGTGTCTCCTCGCGTAGCTTTGTCAGGTCTTTTTTTTCGTACCTTTGGAGTACGCCACCGGCCAAGGACGCGCATTTTAGCACGATCAACAAGCTCGCAAACACCATGAACATTTTCTAACATGTGTGATTGTTCGTCGATCGTTCGAGGATGATTGAGAGCTGCAAGTTGATAAGACGACTGTTGTTACATTGTATCATGTTTTAATCTTCTGAAATTGGTTACAACACAGTTAATTAAGTAATTCTTTTGAAAGACTTTCACAGCTTTTGTCGTTGCAGGTTAGGAAACTGTTGTGTACTGTTACACATCAGGAACAAATATGATTAAACTTTCGTCTATTAATTTTATATTGTAGTACAACCGGTGTGGAAGTTTATTAATTAATTAATAATGTGTAAAAAAATGTATTAAAAGCTCTTGCACATTTTTTGTTCAAGAAACTAAACTAAAAACACTACGAAACTATTGTCGGTGTTCAAAGTAAGAAAGCTCAAGCCACGAACTTTACACGTCGGCAGGTGATGACGTCTGACGTGTAAAATAAGTGTACCTATTATGTATTAATGATAAGAATTATCCCTGGCAGTACATGCATGCAGTTTGCGGATAGCAATCGATCAATAACTACGAGTCAAATAACAATAGTAATAACGAGTTATTACTTTGTTTTGTTTATAAGAAATTTCATACGAATAATATGGATAAACTTTTCTGTTGATATTTTCATATTTATGAATAAAAAGAAAAATCAGAGAGTACAGTCTGATTGATTTGCTAGAGTTATTTATTTATTTTGTTTATGCAGTGCTACCTCAACTGCTGGCAGCTGCGGAATATACAGAATACAGCCTCAAAGTTATACGCTTGCACAGGGAAAAACTACAACAACCCGGTAAACGCCAGAGATTTTGGTAAACGTGGGTGTGTGGAATAGGGGGTAGATATTGCCTATTGTCAATTCAATTTTAAAATTTTTTATTGGCAAAACTTTGAAGTTATACAGCCATAAGTACTCATAATGCAGTTTGTTTATTAATTGTCATCGCGTACAGAGTATAGAGTGCATCAGCGCCATCTAGCGTTGTGGATTTCGCGGACTAACGCAAACTATTTTCTAGGGGAACCGTCTTGAAAAAGTCCCTAGATTCTAGTGATTTCCACCAGAAGTAAATCACTAGAAATGTATAGATATATATAGTGGGTGCGCCTAATAGACTCTCTTTAAGCCTAGACCTCGTGTGGCGTCAGTCAACTGTCGATACAGCAGGGCCGATATTATCGTTGCTGTACCGGCGGTTGGTTGACTTAATCGAACTGCAGGTTTCCCTCTTATCTCGTGTCGACCGTCGATACAGCAGGGTTCGTAACACTAGATGGCGCTAGATGCAAATGCAATTTCGACCGACGAGTTGGGGGGGCGGTTGCGTGCACGATATACGCAATACAACCAACGCGAGATAATTGTTCATAGAGGTATAATAATTATAATTATAATTGTTACCTTTTTTGTCAAATTTTAGTATTTTTAGTATGCATGTGGCCATCAATCTCGAGCTGTATTGCGTAATATCGAAGCACACTAGCTAATAGACCCTTCACGTCTATGATTTTTGACCTACACTATATATATCTATACCTATCTAGTGACTTACTTCTGGTGGAAATCACTAGAATCTAGGGACTTTTTCAAGACGGTTCCCCTAGAAAATAGTTTGCGTTAGTCCGCGAAATCCGCAACGCTAGATGGCGCTAATACACCATACACGATGGCAATTGACAAATGGGAACAATTGTCAACAAACTTCGATGTTTCTTGCTGTTTTGTTTTGACTCCCATACTACACCGATATTTCGGAGTTTGTTAGTTGACAGTAACGCCATCGACCATGCGGCGTTACTACAGTCTGCGTAACTTAACTGCTGGGAGCTTGCGGAATGTAATTATATAGCCAATAAGTATATAAGTGCAACTCGCAATTTTTCCGCAAGCGCGCACTCGCGCAGTTAACGTCGAACGAGGGAGGAAAAGAGAAAGAGAGAGGACGAACGTAAAGTGTGATTTGTTGATAAACAAAGAGGAGGAAGTGTCAGATATCAGCTGTTACGGCAGCAGCAGCACCACCAAAAAACAATAAACGGCTCAGAACTTTCAGCATACTGTTGATATAATACAAAAGCAGGTACTTAGGTATATCGCCAAAGAGGAATTCTTAGGATGTTGTTTCATTGGACAATGGTTAGTCGTCGATTTTTCTAATACATCATGCGGGTGGAGGTGGACAGAGCGAGGAAGCGAAGAGCAAAAGACTCGAACATTTGTAGCACTAAGAGAACATTTATAAGCTCACCCGCCAACAAACCTCACAGTATTAAATTATACGTGCATGAAGTATAACAAGCACCGACTTATAAAGAAAAGAGAAAGGCGGATATGTATCTAAGTATTGTGACAATTACTTGCCCCAGAGTTTAAAGAAATGGAAAATTTCATTTTGTTTCTGCACAGTATAAAGTAAAACTTTTTCCTTTTCATCTCGATCTATACTCGGCTCGGTCGTCCTTGACTCTTTCTTGCGGCTCTCTCTCTCTCACTCTTTCCTTCTTCCTCGGTTGTTCTCTGTCGTCATCGAAAAATCGATCCGCTGCTAGCAGAGAACAGGCCAGCTTCACCAGAGGCTGCACAGCTGCAGTGTCATTGCAAATCCGCGGTGACATTTGTTCGACAATGACACTGAACAGTCTTATTTGTTGGTAAGTTGATTTTTTCGTACCTGCTTTCGTATTTTGATTTTCTTTCGAGTCTATTTGATGAATGGGCTGCACTTGACACTCGTGTTTTCACGCAGGAAGTTATAGCATGTAGTGCGAGCTTTGCATTTCTTTGTGAAGCTTCAAGTGCAATATTTCAATGTTTTTTTTTTTTTTTTCTCTAGAATCTCATCATTTTTTCTAGTATATTTTTATTATTATTTTTTCATTTCAATTTTAATGTACAATAGTTGACACAGTTTTTTACGGATAATATTACGATTTTTCTATTGTTTTTAGGTACCAGAAGAAAATTGGCACTTATGATAAACAACTGTGGGAAGAGACTGTGGAGCAGAAAATTTTTTCTAGACTTACTCATGTTCCTATGAAGTCGGCAAAATTCAAAACAGAACTCATAGATGTTGATTTTGTCAGAGGTTAAAACTATATATCTACTTTTACCGCAAAAATTTATCAACAAATGTTAACGTCTATTTTTCACCGATCGTAAAATAATTTTGGCTTTTAACACATAGGCTCAACTTATCCAAAAGTTCCAAATCATGGACTGGTGACGGTTGCTTATTTAGCAATTTTAAGACTGCTTATTTTACCGTTGACCGCGCGATGGTGGATTCAACAAACAAGCTTTCGCATTTATATTTTTTTCTTACTACTTTACGGCTTTCAGATGCTTAATATTTATATATACTTTAGTCACTACAACACTGAAAATGAAACTGAGGTAAGGATGTTTTTTATGTACCTAACTTGGATAGCAATAAAATAAATTTCTTGTTACGTTTTATTGTAATTTTCTAGAATGTCACAATGTCAGAAGTATTAATACCTACAGCAATGATGTTAATATTATGTATGGTACACTCTCAAATAGTATCAACAAATTCTGGTCCAATAATGTCTCACAAATATGATAAACAAAGAACGCGACGTTCCAGGCATAGTAGATCTTCTCTTAGTAAGCCAAGAACAAGAAAGAATATGCGTAAGTCAAATTGTTTACAAAATAATAGATAACAACAGCTCATTCACTTAGCGTTTTCACATTTTGCCTCTGATTTTTTTTTTTTTTTTTTTCACATTGCACACTTGATTTTAGGAGAGAACAAAGAAACAAAAACTATTAAAGATAAGGTAGCAGTGAGGTTTGCTAATAAATTAGTTAATGAAACTTGTACAGTGATAAGTAGTTCTAGTGAAATGCAAGAAGTTGTTTTGAATGACGGAAGAGTATACTCAGAAATTAAATCAAACCTTTCTGCTAATTCACAGCAGCTGATTGTCGAAAAAGAATCAGGTAGTTTGTTTACTGACTAAAAATTAAAAGTATTAATTTTTTAATGAACTTAAATTTGGGTTTTATTTACCGATTTGTTAGATAGTTTAGGAGAAAATCGAGAAAATGAAAATAATACTCCTCAGGATGACGATGGCTTTGAGAGTTTGAATGGGAATGGTTCAAGTGATAATGACAGAGAAATATCGAAAGTTGAAATGGAGGACAATCAAGTTGAAAATATGACTAAGGAGAAAAAAGATAGCAGAACTTCAGGGCAAGCAAATTTTCGTTGTAGAATATCTGGTGAGTTATTTTGAGTCATCAAAGTCATAAGTGCAGTTTATTAGCACCAAGTAGTATGTATCATCTTTTTTTTGCAGCTCCAGAAGTTTGTAAGAAAAAGCAGGATTTTTCTGATAAAGATTTAGATGATTATGATAGCCCAGTAAGTGATTGTCAGACAATTGTTATTAGATAAGCTGTCTGCAACTTTAAATTTACATGATTATCATAATGTAAAGAAAAATTACAAAAGAGGACTTATAATTATTTCTAAATCAGAGTAGCGAGCATCTCTCAATGCAGAGTTCGAGAGACGGAAGAAAATATTGCGATAGCGAAGAAGAAGGTGATTGCGAAGAAATAACAAATCATCTTATGGACGCAGCTACTTCCGACGCGGAATGGATGGAAGTTGCAACAAATAGAGATGAATGTAGTTATAGGTATACGGAATAAATAATTGTCATTAATAAATTCTTTTTTTTTTTTTTTTTTTTTTTTTTCAATATTGATAAAAAACGTAATGGTAAATTATACGTAGTTCTGAATTCGAAGAGTCTGACTGCCAAAGCGATACTGGACTGAATTATGAGGAATACCTAGAGTACCCCTTTGTATGTGAATTTGATGTTCCCCCATCAGTTCTCTTGAGCCCTTGTGCTTCTCACGAAAGAGGTACAAGCAACTTTTTTTTCAACATCTTTGTATTCTGTCCAAAGTTTATACATGGAATTTTAATGCAAATACTGTTTAAATTCAGTTTCATGCACAATATGGACCCACAAGGACGTTAAGAAAGCAGAGCTTTCGGTGCTTGACATTAGTTACGCCATTATTTCCAAAGTAGAATCCCTGTCGAGTAATTTTTATTCCGGGCTTGTACTCGCCATCCTGTTGTCCCTTGTGCCTTCCTTTCGACGAGTCAGCAATCATTTTGGAGTAGATTCGGTGAACAACACCACTGTTGGTTCAGTAATGCTCGGCGAATTAACGTTACTTAATCATCAAACCCTCCCTAATGTGATTTGCGAAATAATCGACATTGCTTTTGGCTCAACGTGGACGTAAGTATACCCTAGGTGGTTATAATATTAAGATACATGAACCATGAAACGAAATAACGGAAATTTTTTTGTGCTCAGGGATCGGTTACTGATCTGTTGTTCGGCAGTTGAGAGGTTTGTTTTATCATCCCTGTTGTTTTTTCTATTAGCAGTTGCCGAGCGAACGTACAAACAGCGACTGCTTTATGCTAAACTGTTTTCTCATTTGACGTCGTCCAGACGGGCGCGAAAGTCTGATTTACCACATTTTCGTTTGAATAAAGTTAGAAATATTAAAATATGGCTCAGTGTACGATCATATCTTAAGGTATGCCAATGTTACGGACCATACATTTTTTTGCGACTCAAAATTTTATCACGACTAATAATTTTATTGGTATGTTGTAGAGAAGGGGACCTCAGAGATCGGTCGATATTATCGTATCCTCGGTATTTATCATCACATTGATTTTATTGTCATTCGTTTCATTTGAATTGATAAAGGTACATCAAAAAGTCTCAAACCATTTTCTTATCATTTTTACGTAAAAATTCTTATTGAAATAATTATGTAGGACCTTGACAGTTGGAGCTACAATTTTGAAGCGATTTTTTGGAGCTTTACTTTCGGGGTATATATTTTAAGATTTATGACACTTGGTACAAAAATACACAAAAAGTATCGAAATCTCTCTGTTCTAATTACTGAACAGGTAAATATTTTGGATTTTTTTTATTTAATGCCGATAAAATTTTTTTAAACTAACACACTGTATTTTTGCTGTAGATAAATCTTTATTTACAAATTGAACAGAAACCCCACAAAAAGGAAGAGCTCATGGTTGCTAATAATGTGTTAAAGTTGGCAGCAGATCTGATAAAAGTAATTTCCACACTACCTTAAATTTTCGTTGATTCTATGATTAAAATAATTTTTTTTTTTTTTAATTTTTCAGGAGCTAGAAAGTCCGTTCAAAATTTCTGGATTATCGGCCAATCACCGGTATGTTCTTACCATCACAAAAGTTGTATTGTTATCGGCCCTGTCCGGAGTATTTTCTGAGTTGTTGGGATTTAAAATTAAAATTAAGATTAAATAAATTAAAATGATTGTACGAAAAATGACACATATATGTATATATTAATTGAAGCAACTTTTTAAAACACAAACCAACGATTGCGATTTTCAAGTATAAAAATAGAAGTACAAAAATAATACCTAAGCAAATGTATTATTTTCTTATGCTATTTTCGAATTTTTTACCTTAAGCAACGTTAACGGAATATTTTTATTAATTACGAAATGTTCAAAAATGTTACTACGTACACAGCATCACGGAGTGACGGATTGTGTCGAAGCTTGCAAACATTTACAAATACTGTTTCTAATAAAAATTTAACGATGTTACGATTTGAAAATGTACCAGTTCTGTGAAAAGTCTTGACAAAGAATTTTTAAACTACAACTAAGAAATTTAAAAAAATTATGAATTTTTTTAGGTACAGTGGTGCAATAAGACATCTACTCACAGTTCCAAGCTTCCATCGATAGTTCTTTCACAGCTCCTTTACTCTCTAAGAAATTATTGGTGTAACTTTGAAATTTTGTTAACCATACAAAATATCGTTCAAGCCTCTCATATTTTTATCGCATGCTTCCCACAGTTTCTGCACAGATTGACATTAGAAACTTCTAATAAATTATTCCGTGTTACAGTATTAAACAAGTTAATTTGTTTCATTTCTGTTATACTAAGCTAAGGTACATAAACTAATTTTTGTCATTTTATTTTAATAGTTTTCTGACAGTTATAAAATACCTAATGTACAAAAGGTATGTCTAATATTACACATTCACAAAATTTACTGTAGATAGTCAAAGATGAAGTTGCATACTGAACAATAATGTTTATTCAAAAGTTCTAAAAAAATGTCCTTGTTAAAAAAAAATCATGGATGATGTTGTGTAGTGTGGTGCGATGCTGTTGAATGATGTCCGTCAAGCCCTTTACAGACCTACAGCCCTTTATCTCATTTTTAAGGGCCATACGGCCTCCAGGCAACCAACACATCCCATAGCAAATAAGTATGCCACTATAAAATAAAGATGTAATTTCCATTTTTTTACTATTCATAGGTTAAATAAAATCACTTAATGTTAATAAATGATAAGAATCATTTACAGTAGTCAAGTTATCAGGGTTCTAATCCAGTAACGTTATTAATGCAGTAAGGATTCTAAAATATTAAAGATACTTATGTAGTAAGGATTCTAATTCCGTAAGAATTTGAATTCACCAGTAGGTAAGACAACTTACTAGATTATTTTTCTTACTAGATTAGAATCTTGGCTGTATTTAATCCCCAATAAGGATTTCTTTACCTTGTAGCATCACCTCTGTTACTTTTAAGACCCTTTTACTTCGTTTGTGGATCCTAATTAGCCAAAGTTTCAGAGAAGATTTTAATTTATACAATTTTTTAGAGAATAAATTGAATTATTTAACATAACCATAATATCTTAACAGTAGAAATAAATTATATTTGTTATCACACTAATTATTTACACCCATTTTATGGACTTAGGTGAATCAAGGAGAAAGTGTTTATACTCTCTAACGTTGAAATGTGCTTCGTTGACCTTTTACACATTATTGTCATGTGGGAAAACAGTGGCTAATTTAATTTAATGTATCAGAGGATGGATCGAATTTTTAATATCATCAATTTTGAATTTGATTCTTTCCAACTGTTGTTTCTTTAACGAGCTAAAAATACGCATTTTTTTAGCATTGTGTTGATGTTCTCAAAGATATGTTTCTATAGTATTTTATACTAGTTCAAACTATGAGCTTACTCTTTTATCTAAAGTCATTGCTATGGGCTGGCTCTCTGAAGAGGAAAACTATAGGTTTCCTAGCAGAATATAGTGGTAGTATAGCTAATTTTCTAAAAACGACACTATCAACAGGCTATTCAAAGCCATCTGTTGGCAGTCAATTTGGAATGCAGTTTCGCACAAGCGAGTACGCTTATTCATAGCCATGCTAAATAGACCATTTTATTTTTAAGTTTTGTAATGAATTAGGTATTTATAACGTAAAAAATGGATTTTTTTTTATACAAAAGTAGACTCTTAAGAAGCGGGACTACTTATTTAAAAGAGAAAAATCTAGTTTTAACTATTTGGACGTACGATTGTTCCGTGCCCTGTTTCAGATAAGTATTTCTCGTGGAAAAAGGTGCCAAGAAGAAAAGTCTGTTGTCTGCATCACGAATGATTCTATTGTTGTTATAGCCTTAAAATATCTATGGATGCAATGTCGTATAACAAAACAAAAAGATCAGATCGTTACTATTGTGTGTTGTTGGTTGTACAAATTTTTAAAATAATTCCTTTTTTTCTAACAAATTTTTTTAATTTACAGCCTTTCTAATATTTCTGTAATTGTTAATCTGATGGAATATTCCAAATTATTGGCTGTCTAGTTTTTGAGTGACTACTTTCAAAATTTACCCAAATGCATACTGCTGCTGAATCTTTGCACAGACGCAATCCTGCTTTACAATTGCATAAAAAATTTTTCTAAGTCCGATCTTCATGTAGCTAGCAAAGTATGATAATATACAATTAAATGCTTATGGAAACAACGATTAAAACATACTTCATAAGTTTGTGAGAAAAACTGTACAAATTATTTTCTTTTTTTTCGATGTAAAAAATTAATGTAAACAAAATATTTACATAACACAGTTTGGTATACTTTTACTTAAACATTGTAATAATTAGTATTCGACTTTTTGCTTGCAGCTTTAGGGGTTTCTCTGAAAACCAATTTTTTTAAACAACGAGTCTGATTGTCTCGAATTTACTTTAAAGTGTTATTACAATGACAACTTTCAACAAGTTTATGATCTTTTGAGAAGCTTTTTCTGCCAAAAACGTTGGTTTCTACTTTTTTAATATCTGATTTTAAAATGAAAACCATTTTTTTACTCTTTTTTTCGCTAACATGGCTTAATATGCCTCAAATGAGCTATAGAATAAATTGTGTCACGTACAGTATGGAACATACTACGTGGGATGGGTCGCAGCTATTAGTATTAGGAAGGAGAACAAGTTGGGGAAGAAAGAGCATAGAAAGGCTCGCAGCAGTGGCCACAGGGCTCTTGAACGTCGGGACTAGAAGGAGGATAGTTGCAATAAGTAACTCGGGACCGCAAAGCGCCTTCCCTCAAGGAATATAACAATAAAGTGATTGATTGAGTTTAACGGCCTTGTTGTTATTAAGAACCCCGAACCTACAGAATCCTACGTAACAGTTTTGGTGCTAAGTGTGGGGTAGGTTTTGTCGCGAAATAAAAAACTTTTTTTGCACGTGATATTTCAGAATTTTCGGGCAACAATCAGGAAGCACACAAAGTGCAGTGCAACTACAGGCGCAGAAAATTCAAGGNTATATTTTATTTTTAATTTACACATAAAAAACATCAATTTCTGTTAGCTTTACTATGATGCAAACGTTTCAACACCACTGATATTCAAATGAAGAATTCAGGAGATGGCGTTACTGGCTCGCACCAAAGATAGTTACCTAGCGTATAAACTTTGTTATTCATTAATCAAAAGTGCTTATAAACTTTAGATGAGTCCTTCTCACAATTGTACTTTTAATACTTGTTGTTTTTCTCCGTAGTAAATCATTGTTTTATTATGACTTTTTTTAGAGTCTTTTTTTTTTTTTCTGCTCAGTCCAGTTTACATACCTGCTAATAATATTTTTATAATGTTTTTATTTTTTATCGTGCTCTTTATTTTTCACGCTATGACCTTGTCTCATGATGGTTGATGGATAAATAATGTTATCAGAATCATGCATTAACCTTAGTTTCAGTTTTAGTATTCCACGTTGCTAGTTAATTTGCTAATAGTAGGCTTATTTTACAAATACCTTTTTAACATACCATATTTTTTATCTTTGTTTTTTCTCTTATTTTTTTTGCTCTAGTTGCTACTGCTATGACCTTTCTTTATGACGATTCAAAGACGAATGGTGTTAAAAAATTTAGGTACGAGCCTGTATAGTTTTGCCCTCACCCTCATCTTTTACGCCCACCCCTATTTATAATGAGTTTCTTAATGTTGACGATCATCGAGCTGTATTGAACGATACGATCGTGCAGAATGAAGCAATAAGTTGGTGTGTTGCCAGAAAAGTTATCATGAGAAACAAGTTTTAAAGGCATATTAACAGCAGCGGTTTTCAGTGACTCATTCTGCTAGAATCAATTCTTCCGCCCCAGAGAGGACAGTCGTTATATGATACTTTGATTGAAAATGAGTTTTTTGTATCATTTGATCCATAAGGTGTTGTCTAATCTAACTGTGTTTGTAAAAATCGTGAACAGTTTTTTAATATTTTCAATAATTTATTGAATGTTACTAAAGTTAGGAAAAACTCTAATCTGACACCGAAAAAAAGGGCGTAAGTGACATGAAATTTGAAATTTGCGTCAGCAAGAAGGCGTAAGAGCACTTCATGCCCCTTTTTACTCTGTAAAGTCAACGAGAAAGCGCATGGATTCCAAAATAAAAATTTGTTATGTACTCAAGAAGGTTTTTGCCTCAGAAGTAGCATTAGCTGGGGCTTTCTTTACGAAGAAAAGAGGCCGTAAGTGCTGAGCAGATGACGACTAGGAGTGTGATTGTACTTGATGACTTTCTTGTATTATAACCGCATTGGTTTCTGGGGGTCTTTGCAGCCAAAAAACTCATGAAGTGCACTTAATGCCTTTTTTCGAAGGAAATTACGCCGAGCAAAAGGCGTAAGTACAGTTTTTTAAATTTCCTGTTGGAAAATTGACTTCTTTTTTGAGATCAATGCAAAGATCGTGACATGTTCACCGCAGAATCATCGTTTCTGCAGTTAAATATTTTATTTTTATCACATTTTGAACGATATTCGTTCTTTTTTATTTTTTCAGTTCTAAATAAAGTGCACTTAACGAATTTCTTCATTGGGATAACAGAATTAACAACGGTAAGAGGTACGTATGATAGTAAGTCAACTTTACCCAACAGTGTGGCATGATCTTTATCATAATACGCATGGTAAAAATTATCATGCATATCATACAACAA